TGCTGGTGAAAAATTCGCCTCAAGAGAAGCTTGTGAAAATCGACTGTCCCAGTTTTTTGCCAATAGGGACGAGGGTTTCTATAAGAGAGGCATAATAGAATTATCTTCAAAATGGCAACAAGTTATCGAATAAAACGGTGCATATTTGACCTAAATCGGATCATTCTAACTATGCTAAATAAAGCCTTCAATTTAATGCAAAAATAATAGATTTCTTTTTACTACACCTTATACAATACATTGAATATTGGAGAAATAAAAAAATTGTAAATAAGTATTACATATACGAGGGTCGTTTGAAAAGTCCGTGCAAAGTCACTGCTGATGGCACTACTGGCGCGTATCAAGGTTAGATTTAGTTAGTAGCATCTCTTGGAGGAACACACACCAAGTTACAGCCAGATCGGTCTATTTGTTTGTGTTTGGCATTCATTTGAATCGAGGAAGTCGAGGGGGGTTTGTTTCTGCAATCACGTCCTCGTTTCCATAAAATCTTTTTCCCGCCAGCCATTTCTTCATATTGGGGAACAAATAGTAGTCCGAGGGAGCCAAGTCTGGAGAATAGGGGGGATGTGAGACGAGTTGAAACCCTAATTCCATTAATTTTGCGACCACAACAGGTGTGAGCTGGTGCGTTATTGAAAATCACTCGACTTCCTCGATTCAAATGAATGCCAAACACAAACAAATAAGATATATCACATTACATCCATTGAATGATATTGCGGTAATATTACAATACGATATATCACATTGCAATATTTGAATAATATTGCGATAAACTACTTTGCGATATGTCGTACTATAATACAATATTTGGACGATATTAATGTTACGTCCAAACCCTTAAAACTGAGGTTAAAGAGATAAGAAAGGGAAATGGAGAGGGTGTGAAAGGACGGCTAGACTCAATCTCACAGGTATACGCGGAGAGGCGAACACCTGTGAATCGCATGCACCTTTTTCAGTCCCGGAATGCGGGTCCCGAAAGGACGCTATGGCGCCTGTTCTTGAGGGACGGTGCAAGAGACCTTGTGTGATTTTTAGAACTAGAGGGAGGAATGAAGCGAGGGGTAAAAAAAAGGGATGGAAAGCTTGGGATTTTTAATTACAATTAATTGACATTTATTATGATTATGCTTACAATTATTATTACATTAAGTGATTAGTTGAGTAAACATATCGCTATTGTGTGTGTGTGTGTGTGTGTGTGTGTGTGTGTGTGTGTGTGTGTGTGTGTGTGTGTGTGTGTGTGTGTGTGTGTGTGTGTGTGTATAATCCCATCATTACAGAAAAGAACATAAGAACTTTCACAGAATATTGTCATTTCGGTTATTACTTATATAAGTTTAAGAAAATCACAGAATTTAAGATAAGACTGATAGATAAGAACCAAGCCCAGTTATACATATTATATCATTATTATATCTAAAGATTAGATTATAGGTGTTATCTATTAATATATTGCAAAAAAAATTGCTGCACAAAAGCAGTATATGTACAATGTATATAATGATAGAGATATATACCAATAGCTTCTTTTTCTGGTCCTCGAGGAGCCCATATAGATTGCTCCAACGGATGAAATAATTTAAAACAAAATCCATCCTTTTTACTCGGACGTTCAATAACTTGACACGTATTAAGTAGTACCGTTCCAACCCAATGATTACTCTGTAATAAATATTGCAGATACAATAAGAAAGGTTAAAAAAAATAGTTAAAAAGAAAAGAGAAATGCAAATACAAACCTTCGTTTTTGGACTTTTGTACAGCAACAATAATCCAGGTTTCAGAATACACCATAACTTGGTCCAACTTTTCAATGTGCCACGAACTTTTAACCAATCACTCATAACAATAACGGTTGGATCTTTGAAAGAACTTAAAAGTTCATCGGCTACTCTTTTCTTTTCCATTCGATAATTCTTTCTTTGAGCTTTATATGATTCTTTTCGCGTTAATTTGCAAGAATCTAACGACTAAAAATATTATAAAAATATTCATTAAAAATACAAGTTCAAATTAAAGTAAATTATATCTTATCGTATTTCAATAAAAATAAAGAAAAAATAGAGTTGTAGAAATAAATAAAAGAATAAATTATTTTTATTGATTACACGATTTAAAAAAATATTGCTGAATAAAAGTTACGCATCAAATCTGTAATTTTTTACCAATAAAACTTGCAGTCAATTTTTGCAAAAATTTGTTTCTGAGAGACTTCTTTCTAGCTTTAATAAACAAAGAAATTATATCTCAAGAATACAGAATTATTTACCTTGTCTGATGAATTATCCATTTTTTGACTACCTTCGCCCATACCAGAGATCCCTATAACATACATAATTTTGAATTATTTTTTTATAATTATACTTTGTACAGTCGGAATTAGGCGAAT